AGTTCTTAAACCAGCCAAAATATTTTAAATGCGAATTGTTGCACCAATCAATATTCAGGGTTTTTCTGCAAATTTATTCTATATATTTCATTAGCTGCCTATTGTAAGACATTATAAAGCTCCAAGAAAAAATAGGAAAAAAAATACAGATGTTGATCAGGAAACTATAGAAGAAAATTTTACCTTCATGAAGAAATTTTATAAGCTTTACTTCAAAGTAAAATTCCACAAAAACAAAAGAAGACATATTTCAGAAATAAATACTTCTAAGTCTAGAGAAAAACAAGCAAGCAAAGTAAACATAAGATGTTTGCATAGCTGAAGTGTGGTGTCTTCAGTCAGTCTCACTAGCTGAGAATAAACTCTGATAATGGAAATGTAACCTGAAAACGTACTTTTTTCCATTTTGGCCAGTACAGTACTTCAGCTCCATATAGAGTAGCTAAAATAATAGGTTTAAAATGTGTCTGAACAAAACAGAGTAGTTTACTTTCTGCATCTTTTAATTAAGCAGCATGCTTTTTTAATTAACTAACTTTGCTTTTTAATTAGCACCATCATTTTGCCCCTCAATATTGCAAAACAGGCAAACCCCACCCATTTACATCTCGATATGCTCACGTCAGTGGTGGTTTGAATTTACGCATCAGTCTCAGGAAGACCAAACCTGTGTCACCAATCTACATGCAGATGCCAGAAAAGAACTCATGGCACTCAGCTACATCAGCACACACCTCTGCCTAGACAAATTCAGGACCAGTTTTGCTACTTCAAAGAGTTGTAGTAATTTGCATATACATGAACAGCTTTGCTGTTGCCATGGTTCCCTCTTCTAAGGCAAGTTTCTCACACAGCTGCGAGGCAGGAAAAGGCACCGAGTCCACTCCTGTCCCCTGTGGAGCTAGCTGTAACCCAACAATTAGCTTGAACAAGATCCGGAAGAAATTTGCCCTTCAAAAGTGAGATCTGTTTTATCCAGAGTAACACATGCAGTGACACAAAGCCCAGTATATTATAAATGCTGTAAACCAATTTATCATTTACACGTTCCTACAAAATGAGCAAGTCATTTCAGCCCTGTGTCTGAGGATCAGAAGGATGTTACCGACACCACAGCCACGACGAGTACCTGTGCCACAGACTTCAGCTCAAAGGTATAAACCTAAAAACCCGTAATGAATGAATGAGCTTTTGTAGGTATTTTCAGCAGTAGTTAATTTTGCAGATTTTTAAGTCAGAAATTATTTTGCCATATTTACATATGAATAGCACTAATATGGCTGTTAATGGAGTGGAAACGCAGCCAGCTTTGCCACTACAGACTTTAAATAATACAGAAATATTTTTGAAACAGTGTTCTCCATAGATTGTCATAGCTACAGAGAAATGTAACAAATTCATCTGTTCTAAAATCATCTTATAAACAACTGTATTAAACCCTTTAATAATAGATAATATGTACTTATCTGTGTCTTTGCATGCATGCAAGTATGCCTTATATATATTACACATATAAAGTTGAATTACAGTTTATTTTTAAAAAGTCATTGTATCATCAATAAAAAATCTGTAGAATGGAACACTTGCGACAGATCTCTAATTCTTAACATTATGCATACAATTAAGGAATTCTGATCAGTTTCTGTCCAATCTGGGGGTTTCCACAACCAAAAGTGTTCTTTTCACCTATAGGAGCTTCTTTGTAAAATTTCCTAGAAGATTGACTTAGAATACTCATTCTGAAAAGGTTTTTCTTCCATGGTAAAAGGCTGAAGTTCCATTTCTGTAATAAAATACATCAAAGTTCATTATAACCTCTGCAATGACAACTTGGGGTACTGACTGTCATATTTTTTTCAGCCTGAATGAAAATTCTGATTACTGCCATCCACTGTGGAAAGAGAATGACAATCACAGGCCACCAGCAAAACCAGGGGAGAATAATCTATTGTTTGCTATTGTCTCCAAGGCTGTAATGACTCTTATCTATACACCAAATTGAAGGGAGAACCTCATTCCAATTAGATGAAACAATCTCACAAACACTGCTGCTTGGTTCTAATTGTGAAGTAAAACATCCAGGTCAAGACATGTTGTCCCAACTAATTATGCTTTAAACATATAGAATGATGTAACAGTGTATAGGAAGAGAAGATACTAATCACTATTGGGTTTATCTTACATTAAAGCAGTACCTTTAGAGTGCAATGCTAACTCTGAAAATTACACCACCAGCCTTTTTCATTTTATAAAGCAAAAGCCAAGGGGAAAATACACTTTTGTTTTAATACACTTATATCAGTTTGATCCAACCTTTCCTATCCAGGAACTGTTTTAAGACTGGCTCATTAATAATAATAATTAAAAAAAAATCTTGAAGATACTGAAATGAATATTGTTAAGCAAAGGTCAATTCAGTTTGAGTAATATAACAAACTTAGACATAATTAATGCTTTCCACACACTGTTTCCCTTCAGTCATTTTTACCTACAAAACTGAATTAAATCCCCTGTGTGTCATTTAGACTAAAATTATATGAATGCACAATTATTATACAAATTATGTATCCTGTTAACTGAGGCACAGTCTTTAACTGACAGTCAATGCAGTCTTCTCCAAGAAGTGCTCAAAGAACACTGAATATCACAAATTTCTTATGATGAGTAATTTAAACCATGATTATACAATGGAAGAGTAGCATTCTCCAAACTTTACTTTACTGCAAACTACCCTGCAGCTGTGAGGCTTGATGCTAATCCTGCCTGATTGCAAAGTGTCGGTCTCTTGTATTTTGCAGAACAGAATCTAGATGCCTGCAACAAGTGCTTGGTGAAGGAAAACGTGGATATCTTGTTGACTGCCGGGGTAGAAGGCCAAAGTACTAGCTGGGAACTACTTGGGAAGAGGTGGTGGTGTATGTTTAGAGGAGTATTTAAGAGTTTCCTACAAAAGTTTTAGTGGGTTGGTACTGTGGGAGGCAAATTAAGGAGATGTTTGAGCAGAGTCAGTTCAGAAGGAGAGACTGCTGAGATTGGTGGGTCCTTATTTTGTACTTTCCTTGCTTCTACTGCATTATGCTAATCTGTCTCAGGAGAGCCATAAGCAAAAGACACTTGGTATTACTGATGAAGTACACAGAAGATTGTTTACTAAGAGAAGGGATTTCAAACAAGAGCTGGGGCAATTCACTACGTTACTCTCCACTGCTTTTGCACTCTGCCAACATATCTTTGTGGGTGATTGGATCTTTGCAAAACAAACCACAATTGCAATTTGTTTTCTTCTTTCTTTGAAGCTACACCCACAACTCTTTAACCTGAAAGACTAATGGGCACACGGCCAAGGCCCAACTTCTCATTCCTTCTGGGACAGATTGTTGATACAGGCAATGTATACTGCCATATATTTACTCAGCAATATATAATGCCATATAATTCAGAGAGACAGAGAGACAAAGATTAATATTGGGAGTAAAAAGGTTAATCATAAGTCTTCAAAGTCAAATTTGGCCAAAACCAAAGCCTGTACAGTGCAGACAGCAAATCCTGTGAGTTTTCAATAGACAATACCATATACAGAAAACCCACTTCAAAGTTTAGTAGATTGATGGCATGCAAATATATAATAATCATCCAAATATACACTAAGTTATAGTCAATACAAGTGACTATATTACAACTCAGTAATGAATTAGGTTAATCAGAAGTTAGACATGTGAGGAAATACCACTCCCCAAAACCAAAGGTATGCCAAACTAGCCAAAATCTAGCAAAGCAAAAAAATACACTTTTTGTTTTACGCTTTTTTTGCTGGTAAAAAAAGGGAGTAAAATTCACAATTATTTAGGAAACACTTTCGTTTATGAGGAAAAGGCTATTTTTCATATGAAAATATATACGAACAAACCTGTAAACAGATTCAGTGTTGCTAAGAAATTATTACTGTGTGTGATGGGAAATGTTTTGAGATAAGGACATAAAATATAGTAGATTCAATATTGTAATTATAGGATATTCTCTTTCTGAGCTGTAAAAATGGTTACCACTTCTCTCAGGTGTGTGCAGAAAAATAAAGCTTACGCTCTTAACTCTAAGCTTTTCAATTTAAGCCCCAAAACTCAATTATGACCCAAATTCTTCAGCATGAAAGCTCAAGACTTAAATATCTCTATAATCAGTTCTTACTACTTCTGACCAATTTAATTTCAAAATATTTTGTGCAGCTGTTAACACTCATCAGAGGTGTCCTCTTGCTTAATCCCCTGTAGGGAGTTAGAAGCCTTTTACCATACTATGCTGTAGTCAGTACAATTATTTTAATTTATAGGCTGCTCTAGACTATAGTATTACTAATGAATGAGGAATATTCTCACAACAGTAATTCATGAATCTTCTGTAGATTAAAGTATTCTGTAAGCAGCTTTCCAAATTGGCTTTTATGACTATGCCATGCAAAATCTGTTTTCTCTCACAGAGGATAATTGAATAACAGTGGTATTTTTTTTTGACCTTTTGAAGAAGCAAGACAGCTCAGACTGTCAACCCAACTCCATAACACACATCAAACCACGCTTTTAAATAAACACATTATTATTTTTCTTCCAGCTATACTTACTGCAATGCATCTTACTTTACTCACACCATATCTGTTTCTGAACTCAGAGGATCAGCTTTGTTAGTGGGATTACATCAGGGAATTCAGTCAAGCCACTGCAGGCATGAGTCTGACCTACTGAAGAACAATAGCTGCTTTCTATTTCATTTTCTCAAAGTCACTTTGTAAGGCTTTGAAAATCTATAGTGTGTAGGCAAAAGAGCTTGATCCTAGAGCATCTAGAGGTCTTACTCATCCTAACCAATACTAAAGGACATTTATCTCTATACCAGACAGCTTGGTTTTAAGGATTGAGAAAGCTGAAAACAAAAACTGCTATCCTTTAGGACTACATTTTAGCATCATCACTCCTAGTCAGTGTGGACTGCAGGAAAAAGCATCTTACCATCACTGTTGATGCAGACGACAACAGGAACCTGCGTACCAGGGCCACATGGCTTTTCATTGTCTGGAATGCATTCCTCCAGTCCTGTGATTCTCCAGTCATAGCAGGAGGGCTCTTCACATGGGATGGCTTCCAGCAGATGAGGGCAGTTTCCTGTTCCTCCCGTAGGCTCATTGGTGATGCGACGTTTCCTTAGTTTAAAGCCTGAAATGTTAATGAAAATAACAATTCAATTCTAAAATGCAAAGTGAAGCAATTTTTATCTATACCTGAGTGAACAGTTCTGCTTCTCTTCTGTGTAAAACATACCATGGACACTTAGCACAAAACTGCATTTCACATAACTGGGTAGAAGAACTCATTGAAGAAAGCCTAGAGGTAAAACTTAGACAGGGGTGTAAGACAAAGCCTACTGAATAAGCTCAAAAACTCTTGAATCCTGTGTTATCATAGTCATACACACTCCAGAAGGGCAACATCATCATTTCCTGTGCATCACTCTTGCCAGATCCATCTTATCTAATAAATCTTGACTAGATTGCTGGGTTGCCATTTCTGAAATATGTAGTTTGTTTTCTTCTCAGGTATCTTCACATGATCAAGTGAAATCAGCTCCCTTCCCACCCCTCCCCACCAAAAATAAAATAGAATAAAAAGACTACATTGCCAGAAAGGGGAGGGCATGGAAATATACCCAAGAATTTTTATGAACAAATTTACAGTAATAAACATCACAATATTTCCTTGCAAGCATTAATACATTTCCTTAAGACCACCTAAACTCATTTTGGGATGGAGAAACTCGTGGGCCTTTATACAGTGTCATCTGCCAAGTCAGTGTCAGTGACCAACAACAACCCTCTTTCTCACTTTCAGGATGACATGTTTAAACAGCCAGATCAAATACAGTCAGAACAACCTAACCAAATTGAATGGATTCAAGATATAGTTCCTCATGTAATATCTTTCTATAGTTTCTGGTATGTCTGATCAGAATATTTTAACTTTGGCAAAGGTTTGTTTCTTCTCACATCTTATCACAGTCTCTTGTTTTAGGTCACTATTCAGGCAGATTAGTAATATATAGATATTTTTTACAAAATACTATATACAACTCTTTTATCTATACCCTGACACAAACTAAACAGTACAGTTTTCAAACACATATGTGAGAGGATTTATTCTTTGAAGATAGGCCTCAATACAATTTAAACAAATATTACTTTAAAAACACACTTCCATGTATATTCAATTGTGTTTCTTTTTCGTAAATGGGAGAGATCAGTCAAACTATATGCAAATGGTTTATTCGACCTGCAATAAAGGCTGATACAATTTCAAAAAAAATGAACTCCACAGTAACAAAGGAGGCAAATGATCTGGAAATATGTAGAGAGACATGCTGCTAAAACTGGGAGTGCCCACACAACTTTTACATCATTCTCTCTGAAGAACTGTCAATGCAATTATAAAACAAAATGTAAGAATTTCCAGATAAGAGGAAAACATTGGCAGTTGAGAAAAGATCCCTGCTCATGTGTGCAGGAATAAAGGCTTGCATAAAGTACATCCTAATACATTTCCATTACGCAGATGTCCAAATCAGACTCACAAGCCTAACCTTTACCCCCCAAAATGTAGCAAATCTTTAGCTATGAAACAGTAACAGAAATAAGATTACTTGACAGTTGTAGTTAGAGGAGACTTAATTCAATAGGCTTACACACTGAACTGCTTTTTCCTTCTTGAAATGATCAAGGTTGGGCCAGAGTTCCATCAAACAGTTTTGTAAAACTTGCATTATTGCTGCCCAGATGGAAGTCTAGCTAGCAGCGTGCCAGAAAGAGGCAGCTAAGCTAACACAGTAATCACAGTTGTTCCTTCAAGAGGACATATGTGGCTGCCTTTTCTTATGACTGTTTTCAATCAAGGAACCAAGTTTGTATTCTCAACATTTGCCAGATAATCACATTGCAGCAATGACTAGGCCAGGATTTCTCATTTACAGCCAGAAACCTGCAGACTTATTCTAACATGAGGTCCCTGTCGCTGTATTCTTGCTTTCCTGTTTCGATGTCAGGTTACTACAATCTGTTCTGCTTAGGAATAATCTGTAAAACATACTGAAATTTAAATGAACACATGTCATCTGTAAAACAGTGTCACTTATCAACAGTGAATGGTCCCAACTCTTTGCCAGATCATGCTTTATGGTCTAATGGGGAATTCTTCAGCTATTATTGAACTGCAAATCTTTGAAAGACTTGGACACTATGCACTTCAAAGGCTGCTTCTGTCCTCCCTTCGAGACAGTGCAAGAACTGTGATTTGAACACACAGACAAACTGTATCCCTTTCAGTCCAAGAGGAAGGTTTGAAACCAGAATTGACCTGTAAAAAACCCAAACTCACCTTGAGAGCTTAGTAAACAGGCTACATTTTTTGCCAGCTTTCGTGGAACAGTAATGTTAAATATAGTCCTAATTAAATGACCTTATTTTGATGCCCAGAGGCACTGGATAAACACTTCTTGATACAAAATCTAGCGTGCTTGCACAGCCAGAAGTTCCTAGTGACTTCGGAATATTAAACAATCATTGTTAAAAGGCTCTACTGAATTTTTACATACCCTTCTTGGCCTGAGGGTCATCACAGCTTTCATAGGTGCACGGGCCCCAGGCTGACCATGCCGAGGTCTCACACTCTGTAGGACAGGGAATATGGCACAGCTGGGAGGTGCTGGGCAGAGGTCCTGTACACAGCTTACGGTCCACTGGCCTCGAAGCTGCCAAAACAAAGTCAAAACATTTCTCACACGTCACTGGTCATAATCCTCAGCTCTAAGTGGGCAGAACCTTCCTTCATTCAAAAAGGCTGCTATCTCATGATTTTAATCTGATGAAGTGATGGAAAAATGCTTGCCTTGAAAAAATAGAACAGAAGTCAGTTTACTCTCTGCATGAACAGAGTCAAGTCCTATTACTTGGAGTCAGGAAGACTGTACATATTGCAGCACCGTCTTGGACCTAGTCCTTTCATTTGAGGGATAAATTGCACTGCCACAACAATTATTCACTTTGTGCTCTGTGTAAATTGATGTTCTGCTATCTTTCTGTTTCTTCACTTAAGAAACTGAACAAAAAGCTGTATAAATCCCTTTGTACCTGTATATGTATAGTATATAATAGCATAACTTCAAAGGCCTGGTTAATTAATATTTAAAAGATTATTTTTAAGCCATAAACAGAAACACATCTGAAATTATGACAAAAATTTGGTTTTGCTTATACTCTAAAGACCATCAAGTGCATAT